CCAGGGGCCAATTTTCTTCACTTACACCCTACCTCTTGAAATTAGAGCTACCAGCTTGGACCAAGCATTCAACATAGCAAAGCTATTTATGGGTTTGTATATGAAATGCACCCATATGTTCCTATATAAACCATAAAAAAAGAACTAGAAATTTTCTTTGTGCTATAAGCCCATGATGGTGAGAAGTAGAAAAATGTGGCAAACAGCACCATTAATGACTTTATATAGTATAAGGCCATATTTGAAATGGACCTCAATGGCCTTGCGATGGAGTAGGCCATGGGAGGTATCATGCATATGTTGCTTTCATCGTATTATCTAGTACTTAACTAATGTATTCTGTGGGAGCTCAAAATTGATGATGCAACTTCCTTCCTTCCTTCCTCCCTCCTTCTCTCTCTCTCTCTTTCTTTTTCGGAACTAGCTGATGGTGCATTCTGCTTCCATAGGGGCACTCTGGGATAAATGAAGAGACAACCCTTAGGGAAATCTTTATCCTTGGGCATCTTTCTTGCATTCCTGTGTATTTCTGCTTCTAAAGCTGAACTTGGGTGTTTGTAGCATCTCATGGGTCACTGTAAACAATGATAACTATAATGCGGTTGATTATGGATCTAAAAGCTGGAGCTAGACTAATTTGAAGAACCAGGTGGGCTCATAAATAGCTGCTACTTATGAAGTAGTATTGGATATTGGAAGACAGTTGTTCCTAGACCATTCAGTCAGAATATTATGTTTTCTCTGAATGCACTTGAGAATTGTTGATGATTTCTTCTGATTTACCGTGTGTGTGTGTGTGTGTGTGTGTGTGTGTGTGTGTGTGTGTGTGTGTGTGTGTGTGTGTGTGTGTGTACCAGTTCTGGGGTTTGAACAAGGGCCTGAGGACTATCCTTGAACTTTTTTGCTCAAAGCTAGTGTTCTACCACTAGAGCCACAAACTCCACTTCCAGTTTTGTTTGTTTTATTTTGGTAGTTTTTTGGAGATAAAAGTGTCATAGACTTTCATGCCCAGGTTTGAACTGCAATCCTCAGATGTCAGCCTCCTAAGTAGCCAGGATTACAGGAATAAGCCACCGGCACTGGCCTTATCTTTGTTTTTAATATCATAGAAGACTATGGATTGAGATGATTGTCTAGTAGCAACATTCATACTGATGGGTGTGGAGTCTTTAAAATTTATAGCCGTGTTGTATCTGTAGCTACTCCTTTCTTGTCTTTGTAAAAGGCATTAGGGAGAGTGGAAAGGTAGCAACTACCAAACAGGACATCAACCCTGTAAAATTGTAGTATGTTCTGTTTGCTAACATTTAACTTACTCTCACAACATATCTCAATGACATTGTCTCCCAAACCAAGCCAACCTTAGGTCACACCGCTACTTTGAATTACCCTAATGAGAGGAAAGAAAGATGGCACGTATTGAGTTTCAGAAGTATGTATTTCAAAGGTAGCAATTTGAGTCTTTTTCACTTTATGCAGCCTTTTATAGGATAAAAATCAGAAGTTAAATAGCCTGACAAAGTCTATACAATTTTGGGAGCCAGAGTGATATTTCTATTGTATTCTACTAAAAGCCAAATTTATTCTATTGAGCCAATTAATTTTTCCAGCAATCAGAGATTGTTATTTATGAGTGAACAATTGGCTGGTCTCCTCTGATTTCATGCATCTCTTCTATTCTTATGATGTATTGTTCCTCATAAAATTCTGCCACATTCATCAAACAAGTTATATTATTTCATCCTTACAGCCTTTTGAACTACGTAAAGTTGATACCTTGTGTTATTGATAAGTGGATTCAGAGTAGTTAAATAACTTGCCCATGGTCAATTGAGGTTGGCTCCAAAGCTAATGCTCCTTATCCTTCACATCTCCTTTTCTATAGACACATGACCCAGCTGGGTTTATTTTCATGGCAGCTGAACATCAGAGATTCGAGCCTGGGCACCTCTACGGGTATTTGCTATAAGGCTTCCCTGACTTACAATGAACTGAAACAAAGCAGTTAGCCACAGATTTTAATGCCACTGTGGTCCCATGACAAATGACAAGGAGGTTAGAGTAATGAAATCTTATTACTGTGAATAAAGAGACCACAGCCTAGCCACATTTACCGCCAGAGGAAGTGAAGTGAAACATGTGGGTAAGGGGCTCCACTGAGTTGTGGCAGTCAGCTAACAGGATTAAGAAGATCTCTCTGAAACTGTGATTATGTTGGCAAATGTGTGGCACCTTAGATAAGGACCAAATATTTATTCTGGCAGAGATTAAATCTTTTATTTTCCTGAATCTATTATGGATCTTGCAGAAAAATCTGCTCAAGACTGTATCTTGCTGATCAGCCAACTCACCGAGCCAGAACTGTACTTGGCCACTGCTGAGGCTGAAAGCTGCAGAACTTGAGTTTAAAGTCTCCCGTCTCCCCCTAAAACTGTTCTCCATCCATGATTAATTAGTGACTCAGAGGTGAATTGAATCACCAGCAGTCCTTTCCATGTATCCAGGATTTACGGAGTGGTTTCTTATTGAAGAACAGTGGTGCAATAACCAGCCCACATTTGTGGGATAGGCAGAGGAATAATGGTGTCTGCAGTCATGGTTTTGTAGTTTCTCTAGGCCTTTCATTCTGCAAAGGAAGTTATGACTCAGGCTATTATAGCCTTGTGGGTAAAAACACCCACATTCCCCCTCCCCACTCTGCACCCATTTACACCCTTATAAATGAATGCTAATTCTCTGAGAAAAAATCATGTTGCCATTTCTGAATTCCAGGAGAATGAAGGGGAAGGTTTATAAGATGGTTCATAATATTATTAATTATGGTTGTGAAGTGTACAAATTAGAACTGATAATCAGATCCATTTATCTTTGCATCATGTTTTCATGCTGGGAACTTGGTTTCATATGAAGATTTAGAGAGGAAAGAAAACAAATTTGAGAACCTAGTGGTCCCAATAAACAGAGATTTAAGAATCATGAATGTGTTAGTTACCATTTGGGGAGGGATTTGGATCTTATTTTTCCAGAGAAGAAACATAGAAAATTAAGATATCAGTGTTTGTTGCCTACCTGTCTGTCAGGGAATAAAGGACATAAGTATATCCATACTTTTCAACCTTAAATGCTGACATTATCTGTTGATCAATCTATAACCCTCCTTTCTAAGATCAGGACTCTTAGGCACTTGTCCATTTTTAATTGGGTACAAGATGGATTTGCCTAAAGGACAAATAGTAGGCAAGGAGGAGATCATATACTTTGGGAAACTAAGCAAAAAATAAACTTCTAAACTGAATGGAAATCAGTGCCCATTCCACAAGACATTTTAATTTTCTGGCTTTAAGTATATTGGGTGCTTAAGAAACATTGAACAATTCACTATGTCTGAGACAATGGAATCATACGTTACAGAAGTTCTGATTTTACTTTTAAAAAGGCCATATTCTTCTTCCTTTTCCCATCTTCCTTCATGTTCACCTCCTTCTCCTATTTCTTGTATAAGTAAAGAGTGGATCACAAAATCTAGTGAACAATACTGTGACTCCTTCCTGTAAAATGCCAGAATTACAACTGAACATTTTATTTTCTATTTATTATTTAATTACCTGTAATTAGTTGTACAAAGGGATGTCAACTGAACATATCATAGCTTGAGTACGATGCATCTTGACCAATGTCACTCTTTTCATCTAACAACTTATTTTTGGGGGGAGGAGGTATTTTTTTTGTCGGTTGTGGGGGTTGAACTTTGGGCCTGGGTGCTGTCCCTGAGCTCTTCCGCTGAAGGTGAGTGCTCAACCACTTGAGCCACAGCATCACTAAAAGTTTTCTGGTGGTTAATTGGAGGTAAGAGTCTCATAGATATTCCTGCCTGGGCTGGCTTTAAAGCATGATCCTAGGATCTCAGCCTCCTGAGTAGCTAGGATTACAGGCATGAGCTACCAGTGCCTGGCTTAACTGATTTTTTTTAATGAAGTACCCAACTTACTGCCAATAAGTCAGACAACTAGAGAAATGTAAGACAATATCTCCCTTCCCTCACAACCCATCCCTACCAATACTCTAGAAAGCTGTGTTATCATTCTAAGAAGTTAAGAGAAGCTGATTACATCTGATCAGGAAGGTCACTTTTGTTTCACTGTGAATACTAGTTCCACTCTTTTAGTCATAACCAATTATTAGAGGAAAGAGTAAGTGTTTGAATAGATTACTGTTCATGGTTCTGTGTTTCCAGGTTTATTTCCTAGGAGGTGGATGATCTTGTCACAAGCTCCTTCTTCATCCTTTTCATTCATTACTCTTCTCAAATTCATTGTGATTTTTCTCCCCATTCTTTTCTGCTATGTCCCATGCAACCTGATTATTGTATCTCTCTTTGGATTCACCTGGGCTGCAGGACCACACGTACTGGGAGGATGGCAGTCATCTCATCTGAAAACTAGCTCACTTTGCCTACCTTTTACTGAAAATAAATTTCACTTGGATATACAGAAAATATTGTCCAGACTTGGTCTGTAATATCTGTTTCTGTGGCATTGGCTCCTAACCATTACAGAGCCTTCTCCCTTTATCTGAAAATTTAAAGGCAGGCTCGTAGCCCTCTCTTCAGTCCTAAACTGAATTATGAAATGATGTAGGGCCCAATGTCTTATTAGCTTCTCTTAGAAAACAGGCCCCATTCTTCTCACTGAAATGAACTTGGCAGTGTCACTGCCTCATTGTTAAATAGCTCTATCTTTCCAGCCTCGGTATCCGTGGAGGGCAATTGAATGATGTAACCTGCACCGTGTAGCCTGTGAGAGCAATTTGGGTGGCTTTATACCATTGGTTTTTATGTTCAGGATGAAAGCCCATGGAGAAATATAGGATACTATTATTAACTTCATACAGACAGCTCCCTCTGGGCACCTACAGGTTTATTGCTAGTTGGAGGATTGACTTGAAAGAGAGAAAACCTTGTGGTCAGTGATAACTATGCCTTTTGTGTTTCTTTATTACAGGAACAGGGGAAAATTGGAGTTGTCTTCAATATTGGCACCGTTGATATCTCCATCAAAGAGGAGAGAACTCCTGTTAATGACGGCAAATACCACGTGGTGCGTTTCACCAGGAACGGAGGCAATGCCACACTCCAGGTGGACAACTGGCCGGTGAATGAACATTATCCTACAGGTACATGTTGTATTCTCAGTGACCATGCTGCCTTTCACTCTCCTACTCTACTGCATAATAACTTTTCTCATGGCTGTCATCAGTTCAAGGAACACTTGAGTGAAGTATACATGCTTACTTTTTTTCTTCTTCTTAAGATTTGATCAGGATAAGGAGCTCCTGGAGACTTACTAACGATGCACTAAGCCTTTTTTAAAAACCAATCTTTCACCAATACTGCCTGGCTGGTTCATACCAAAGATAATCAATGTAGGTTTTTCAGAGTACTGCAAATGATGAATGGTGGTGGACAATGTACATCTTTATTGTGAGCGACTGCTGAGACCTACAGGATAGCCAAGTTGAGATCTAGCCTGAGTAGTGCCATTTAGTCAGATATGATAAAAGGTACAGCTGGCAAGGGGTAGTAGAGAGGCTACACAAAGAGGTGTACCAAGTGAGAATTCATGAATATTAAGGGTACGATGAGAGAAAGCCCAACGGGGGAATTTCGTTTTAATTGTTGACTTTGCCAATCATTTTTCTAACACCTATATTAAGTCTGTCTTGAACTTCAGTAAAATGAGAGAAAGAGAGAGAGAGAGAGAGAGAGAGAGAGAGGTGTTAATCATCTGTTTGAATTTCCCAGTCATGGGAGCAGGAGGCAGCAAACTCCCAGAGCCAGATGGCTGAAACAAGGGCAAGAGGAGAAAAGGTTGTCTTTTTATAAAGTGATCATTCAAATAATCCCCTCATTTTGCCTTTCATCTCTCCCTTCCCCTAGGAAAAGAGTCCTGGCCCCTGATGATAGATGTGCCAGGAAGAGAAGGAAAAATACTAGGCAAGGGATGCTCATTTGCCTTGTCACCTGATAGATGGGTGGATGCAAAAACATAGCTCAGAATACTGCATTTCTCACTAATATGGATACAATGTATAACTCTCCACCCTATCCTTCAAATTCCCTACACTTACTGTTTTCTTCCCACTTTCCTAACAATAAGATGGGCCGAGTAAATCTAAAGAACCATTTACCTAATAATTGCCATGCTCAAAAGAAATATTCAGGGTAAATTTGTCTTTTTGTGGCTCAAGACTTTTTTTTTTTAATGGCTCAAGACTTTTGAATGGCTTAAAGGCTGTGAGTGTATTTTATTGCCTTAAGTCACCATTAATTTTTCTTTAAGAGCAACAGTATTGCTGCTCTTGAGTTCTTCTGTAATATCCGGTCTCTGTATCTGTTTTAAGAATTGTGGTAACATGGCCCCATGGTATGGAATCAAAAATCCCTACCTATCTATTCATCTGTTGTTTCAATTTCCCAAACCAGCCAGCCCTGGGGGTCTGTTTGTATTTCTTAGATTAAAGCACTAGAATGACCTCACGACATTATCTTTGAGCACTTGGAAGAAGCCAGAAGTGTTAGCAGTTACTATGAATTCTTATTATCACCCAAAATACACTAGACACTAATAGACTCACTTCTTGCTTACCCCCTCCCCCGCCAGGGGATATTGTTGGTGGTGGTAAGGTAAGAGGGATCCAAATAGTCTGAGATCTTAAAAGCTGTTCATTTGCTCATGGGGAAAAATCAATCTCTCTCCATGCATATTATCATTGGCCCTAAAATTGCTGCTGTAGGGTTTGTTGTGTTTCTATTAGGAATTTCAAAGATTTCTAAATTGATGTTAACCACTTGCCCCCAGCCAATAGAGAATGGATGAATTTGCTGCCAGCCCAGAGAGGGGAGAGGGAAGATTTTGAATGGCCTGATTTTTTTTAAAGCTGCAGATATGTAAGAAAATCAGTGACCTTTGCTTGCACCTGTCTATTGGTATCTTTAGTTCCAAATTACAGGTTGCTTCCTGTATGTTTTCAAAACAGAATGAACCTTTCTTTAATGGCATTGCTTTCTCCTGAAAACTATGATTATCGCCTGTCACTGTTATTTAGTAATAATAGTTGTTATTATTATAAGACAGTGTATGTAGCATAGCAGTTATCAATAAGGTTTTTGGAGTCAACTGATGAGTTAAGAACTTTGTTTCATCAGTTAAGTCTTCAGAGTAAGACCTTGAAATGCCCTGACCACTGAAATACTGGATTCTTTTTCCTATAGGTAATTTAAATTGCAACCATGCTATACTGTAAAGGGAGGGGAAGACTTTCTAACATTCTGCCTTTTTCTCCATTGACAATTATTATTTTAATATTTTGGGGCCATATCAGATGCTTTTGCCTGATTTATACTTCTTGCTATTTTGCTAGTTCCCTGATGTTCATTCTTCCTCTTTGGTACTCCAGTTGTAGATTTTCTCTAGGTTATTGAATCTACCTTCCTTACTACCAGGAGGGTACTTTCCAGAGTTAGCAGAGTCATAAAGAGGAACGGTCTGGCTATTATTCATCTATTGCCAATATTTAAACAGTGAAGAAGTATAGAGTAGCTCCTAAAAATAGTCACTTTACTTATCTCATCCTGAGGACACACTCTCCAAAAATTGTTCTTGCGCATGGGGCGTGAATGGTTGAACTGAGCAGCAGGATGAAGGAGTGAACTCTCAAATCTTCTCATGGGCATTTATAGGATTTTCTGTGGCTCCACGGAAACATCCCACTGTGAAATATTTAGAGCCCAGCTGGGCACAGAGCATGTAGCATTGGTTCTTTGTGAATCAGTAAAGATCCAAAATGGGAATAGTTCTATAGCAATTGGCATCTTATAGCACTTATTTCTAGGAGATAGAACTCAAAAGAAATGTCTTTGTTTGAACCTGAAAATAGAAAGGCTAAGGAACCAGAGAAAGAAATAAAAGAAAGATCAGCCTAGAGCGATCACCCAGGCACTGACAAATGTGCCTTATAAAGTGTCTGGCTGCTGTCTCTACACAATGGGATGGTGAGGAGAGAAGGTGAGATGAAAGATGAGTTGAACATGAGGAATTAATTTTAGCCATGGCTCTAGGCCCCCTGGAAAGCTGAGCTGACTGGGATTGTTCAAGGTCTCTCTGCTATGAGCTGGTGGCCATTTTGTCACCATGGCTATTAAAACCCTAAGCATGCTACAGTAAAAAAAGGCTTTTGAGGTCAAAGTCAGCCTCTCGGGAAATGAAGACTGATAAGCAGATTCAGTGTGCCGGCCGTCTATCTTCCCTGCCCAGAGGTCTGAGGAAGGCGCTCATTGATTTTTCAATGATATTTCAACCTACTCAGTTGCAAGTGTTCTTGACAAAATTCTTCTTCATTAGTGTATCAGTCAGCAGTTCATCACTAGAATGAAATTCCTGAGGCATTTAATGATTAGAGAAAGAAAAAAAAGGTTGTTTTGGCACATGATTCTGCCAAAGAAGGATTTGACTCAAACTGATCATTGTGGATCCTGTTGATACCTGAGGCATTAACTTCTAGAGACAAGAAGTTTGTTTTGGCTAATAGTTATGGAAGCTCCTTCCCTGTACCTTATAAGGCTTCGGGCCATGTTGCACCACATCAAAGCTCCTGCCCAGTTTCTTTTTTTTTGAATCATGATTTCATTGATATACACTATTTTTTCTAAACCCTCAAGTGGAAATTCCTTCCTCCACTAGTTTAGTTTGTAAGATTTGTCCACCTTGGCACTTTTGAAATTTCCAGCTAAAGAATTCGTTCCTTGTATGGGGGTAAGATGGGGCACTAGGCTACGCATTGTAGGATGTTTAACAGCATCTGTAATTTCTACCCACTGAATGCCAAAGGAATATTTCTACCAATGTCAAATATCCTTGGGCTGGGAAATAGTTAACGGTAGCTGAGAACTACTGAATCACAGGAAATGTTCCACCAAACTTCAAAACTTGACTTCTCATAGTTTAGTTTGTGTGGAGATAGATTTTTTTAAAAAATAGCTGGGCACCAATGGCTCACTCCTATGATCCTAGATACACAGGAGGCTGAGATCTGAGGATCACAGTTCAAAGCCAGCCCCGGCAGGAAAGTCCGTGAGACTCTTATCTACAATAAACTACCAGAAAACAGGAAGTGGTGCTGTGGCTCAAGTGGGAGAGCACTTGCCTTGAGCTGAAGAGCTAAGGGACAGCGCCCAAGCCCCACAACTGACCAATATATATCTATATATATCTATATATATATCTATATATATCTATATATATCATATATAGATATATATAGATAGATAGATAGATATATCATCCTAAATGCATGTCTTATCCTACATTATGGTGAAGACTTCAAAACAAGTCTATGTACTTGACAAGATCCTGATATATCTTATGCTTTTGGTTTTCATTTATTTCTAGCCAGGAGGTTTCTGTCCTTCCTTTCCATCTTTACCTGCAAACATTTGCAGCCTTGCCAGATTGGAGGCTCCATCTACCTGCTCATTCATCTGTCTAGCCTTAGTGTTGCTTCCTGTTCAGTGGGAAGAAAAAACGTAGATAGTGAAATCCTTCAGAGGGAATCAGAAATATAAATACAATCAAAGGAAAAAAATCCACATATTTGAACATGGTTTCAAGACTAGAAATGCAACATCAATTACAGAAAGGATCGCTTAATGAAAGTTCGAACATTTCTTAGTCCATTTAAAACTGGTCTCAAGAATACATTTCTCAAACATTCAGTCACAAAATCTATCAGTGAAGCAATCAAATCAAAGCATGAGTATCCACACTACAAAATGGCCATTCATTTTAATTTGTCAGAAATGAATTAGAGTTTACAAAGTAGGTGCGTTTCTCTTTTCAAGGGGATCTGATTGCTTTAGTTGATCTTTGGTGAAAAAACTACATGTCACTACTCCTCAATTATATCTAAGTACACACATACATGTATACATTCATACTATAAAATCACACATACATACAACACACACATATATACACATATAAAATGCCAATACCCTGGCTGCAAATAGGATCCCCTGCGTACATTAATAAACTCCCAGTTCCTCAATTCTCAGGCTATGGTGTCACATCATCTCATTGTAAGTGTGTGGGCTATGATCCATGGATCAGCAACATCAA